TATATATATGAGTCCGCTATATTGACACAGATAAACATGGTGTATATTCTATTATACTACTCGTAGAAAGAATTCTACACGAACACTTACACACCAAAACTGACACGGACTCTCTATATGCCGCTGATTGCAATTAAATTTACTTTCAATTTGAAAATAACTACATATTTGCAAATAGTAGGAGGGGAAATAACTACATACTTGCAAATAACAGTGGCGCGTCGGTACATGGTAACCAGTACTGACATTTGCTATCCGTTATTTCATCTCTCAGGTCCTTGTACTCCCCCAGAGCAGGTAATCGCAACTCGTACGATCTGCCGGCACGCACTATAGCTGTGATACTTTCGCTGACAGGTCCAGCGTACTTCATCACACCCACGCACAGATCATGTAGCAGCCCTAACCTGTACTCATAGTGTAGCTCCAAGTAATCCGTTTCTATAATCATCTGCTTATCCGCCGACAACATTGGAGATTCCTGCACTGTCCACATATCCTCCCAATTGTCTTTGACATATTTAGCCAGTCTCGTCTGCCAGTTATCCTGTGTTACTACCTCAGGCTTCTTCTGCATACTTTTAAGTAGTGCCATATGTATATCTGCCAGCATCTCATAGTGTGCAGTTGGGTTTAATAGCGCTGCTTCCAGCTTGAGCACATCCACATCTAAGCCCACCCATGGCCCAAATGCCGACAGCCAATTGCACACTGCTGCGAATATCCAGAAATCGCTGGGGTTTGACTGCATGTTAGTCAAGCTAAACTTGGGTTGCAGATCCATTGTGGCTCCGAGCCGCCCCAAATTTGACCTACCAACTTTGAACTGTCAGTGCAGATGATATACTGTATCGAGGTGTCCCTCACTAACACTTCGCACTATTCTGTGGGCGTTTGTTATTCCAACGCTATGAGTGCTTGTTAATCAGCTGCATTCACTATGCCTGTCTACTTATACAGTAGTTCGGTCAGCTGAATGGACCAGCCGTCGGTCGTGCTATGGTGGGCTTTTCCGGCCGGTGTGCAAAAGCAAAATAACTCTGACGGGTTTGCGGATCATTTTGGCGGGATCAGCAACCACTATAAATATCATCAGCATGAATCACACATATCGTGTATGATTGTGAATCTCTACAATAAATGAAATGTATACATAGACATAGCCTTCTAAATTGAAACATTAAATAGAACACACAAGTCGTGGTTTATATTCAATTATTCACTATATCCAGGCTTCATATAAAGGCACCCTGCATCTGTGTCTATATTCACTTAAGACACGTTCAGCTTGCGTATCGCATGCGTTCTGGGTATGCACTAAGTACGACTGCTGAATCAATTGGACTAGCCTTCTTTACCTACGCCATACCTTGCACTTGACCTATAGCGAATTTTTGGTTATCTTGAACGAAAATGCCGATCATCGAGGAGGAAACGGTAAGCAGTCCCACAGTATGTGTTTAATTGTATTCCATAATACTCTGAATTATTCAAACAGACCTTGTGAATTGCCATAGTTTTCTAATATAGCTTGAAGCATTTGGTGTATGTAAACCCGTTCGTCTGCACGAGCAATGGTGAACCTGTACCACATTTGTCGCCTCTCGGTATACTGGATAATCACGGCGCAATTATACAATATGAGCAATTATTGTGCAAGTAGTCCCCTATCACACATATCTTGTCCGATTATGGATATCTCATACCCTTTTTTGGTATCATCTCATTCTCAGGATTAGTGTCTCCTTGTTTGGCAGCGACTGTTTGTGTTAGTATTATTTTGATACCACTTTTTTCCGTGCACGCTTGGTAACGTGTATGTATTAAACTTAGTGATCCTGGCCGCGATTTTATCACTAAGGCTGTCGTATAAACAAGCCGTATTCGACAATCTATTTATATCAAATTTGTTGCGTATTGATAGTGATAGCGTGTCTCCTAGTGCCAATTCCTAGATATTGGTTCCTGACTATACCACCTACTGTGGGGTCTTTGTCTTCGCTGTATTGTTTCATTCCTCTCTTGTTTGTCACTGACTTAGCTATTGCTCCGCATAATCTAGCCCTCGCTCCGAGTTACCAACCAGGCTGTATCTACGTTAACCAACAATTTTAGTTTTTGTACATTCCACTGTAGACTCTCACCTGGCGCACTACTTTTTAGATGTGAGGGGCAGTGCGTACATTTAGCTCGTAACAGCAGTTCCGTATAAAATCCTTTCTCGTATGGGCTGATTGCAAACGTATCATCCCAGTGTGTACTCACCTCCATGATTCAGAACACCGTATTTCCAAATTCTACAATGTTACACAGTACCTCGTGTTGGATGTGGATACCCCATTCGGTCCTGACTACAATATTTCGGAAGTCAATGCCACCTTCATGGTATGTGTTCGACGATAGTCCCGTTAGTACCATAGCGCATGTTTTTTCGGCACGTGTCTGTAGTTTCCAATGTCAGACTTTCGTTTGACCCTCCTATTCATGATTGTGCACGTATTATCCTGAATAGTTCTTGGTATGACTTAGGTAGACTTGACCGTGGTTTATGCCTATATCTGTGACTTTGTCACAAGCGACAAATAAGTATAATAGCTTCCTTGTAGCCTCTGTCGTATGTACTGCACATATCTTTAGGGTTTAGCGATCGATGCGGATTTCCGCGTGTGTCCACTCGACTGTATTAACGTATGTCCTTCACTGAAGACGTGTACTACAGTGAATATTGACTGTGTATGTGATATACATCCTATGTTGTGTGTAGCTTTGTGTATGCGTGTAAATTCTTGATGATTTCTCGCGATTTTCAGTTGGGACCATATCGCGTTTGGGCCATAAATGGCACTTGTACGTTCAACCGGAATGAACCTGGGGCGTGGAGAACATGTGCACGAGCACAGAATTGTGATTATTGTAGGAAGTATCTTAAGTAGGAATGAAGCTTAACATATAGTATCGGACATTTGTCTATGCAGGATTTCGATACTTCAGAGCCCGTGATGTTCCTAAATGGAACGGCATGGGCAGGGGAGTATCACGATACTGTAGGAAGTGACTTGCTCTTTGTTAACCCGAATCAGGATGACGGTGAGTGGTTTAGTGAGATTTAACTTCTAGGCTTCACTCTCATAGTGGCCCTTATATCGGTTAATCTTATCTTGCCACGATGACGCCATTGCGCCGTGCTGTTCGGGACATTTTCCCGCTGTGTCAAGCACGGTTCTTATAGCTACTATTGGAGGGTTCTCTTGCCCTACGACTCTCCCATCTGTCCTGACTTTGTCTGATTATTTTCCTGTTGCTGGACTGGCTTCTTCCTGTCAGAGCGCCCTTGTCGGACATTTTTGCATGCCCGTATATCTGCTTCTGTATAAATTTGACATGTTCGTTTAAGTTGTGATCACGGCACTGCTCTAGATGCATTAGTAATGATCAGAAATATCCCAAATGTTCTCATGGTGATAGTCTACGTATACATATAGTGGCAGGCGCATACTCTGCATCGACATCATTAATCGCATAAGTATGGCACTACGTATGTCTGCAGCACATGGCAGAACTCTGTACCCCATGTCACCTAGCACTAGTCAAGTATTATTTTTCAATGTACCTGAAAGCGTAGCAACGCATGTGAAAGAAACTTCAAATATCGTACAATATTCGGACATGTAAAAATATCATCGCATCTCACTGCCGGGTTCTCCCGCTTGCATTTCATCCCGCGTACGCAGTGGAGATAAAGCTCAGTGGGGTGTCATACAAACAGGTCAAGTTCATACCGGTCATGGTCATGGCTGAGGATAAAACAGACGAGCATGTGAAGTCCACCAACGATAGTGCGCAACCTACTAGCGAGGGTGCGACAACAGTTAATAATGAGCAAACTGGAGTTGACAGGTGACATGACTGAACTACCGGATATTACTTGTTCCGTGTGTATTTGACCGAGCTATGCCCAGACATTTGACACGCTCACTCAACATTTGGACAGCTACCTCACATTTGGCAGATGATTTGTGTGGCAGTTAAACCAAAACATTGTCTATGCAGGGTCACCCTCTATCGATGATATGCAACGATCCTGTCACAAATGTGTCAGAGAACATATCTGGAGTTGTTGAAATCCAAATTCGCCGAAGAGTTTACGTTTGCTTTGTGCTGGACATGATCAGATACGCTTTACTAATAGACAATGTGGATCTGACCTTCAAAGTGAAATCCTTATATTTTATAGCCTGGGCCGCGCGTCTATCGCGCGAATTACTAGATATGCACCATTCGTCGAAATAGAGCTTAAGTGATTGTGCGCACTATCAACGTCGTCAGTCAGTCATCTATCCGACTCAACCAAGCTGGAAGGCTTCGCTGGCGATATAGCACTTACTAGCAGTACATTGCAGTAGATGGGTATATTTATCCGTTTTGGTGATGGATGGAATTCATAGAAATACATAATGTAGATTTGAGCACACTTCAGCTCTCTCCATCATTCACTAACCATGCTGAGATAATTGCGACACAAATGGGAAAGAAAAAATGCACAATCTACGAAATAAAAAGTTTTGTCACTTTGAGATCAGGCATGCTATACAAACTGGGACCAATTAAAGTGTTCGGCTATCTCTACAACTTATCGTAACAAGATGCCGAATTTAGATTGCACAATACCCAGAAATAGAACGAACATATGAACACTTCGCATACTGTCAGAACTCAGTGTACAATGTTACATATCCAATATGGGAGCAGCCTTTAAACTACAACAGTAAACATTAGGACCCAATTGTAAACGGTATTGTGAGGGGAAGTTCCTATGCTTGCCATTCTGCCGTGCAATACGCACCTGTGCCTTTGGTAAATCTGTTTTATTTGATGATTTTTGTATGTGCTATAACGCAAATAAATACAATACTAATTTGTTCACTACTAGGCTTGACACTTTTATCTGCACTTGGCGGACGACACGTTGCAGTGTCCTATCGCAATAGCGCCTCTATGTACTCGAGCGATTCGAGTTGTGCATCCCGGTCGTCAGCATCAAGAGCTGATATTTCACTTTGTATGTTTTCCAGTACCTGCATTGATATAGCACATATGCATGTTAGGGAACGTCAAGTACAGGATCAGAGCACCTGTATGTCTTTTTTCGATCATATAATACAAAGGTCATATAGGACTTGATAGCAGATTAATTAAATTGGTCTTCTTCGATGCTTGAGACCGAAGTTAGAATTTATGCGTCCGCCGAATGTTTTGTCAAAAAAATTCAAAAAATGTTGCAAATGAGTGCCGTACGCCATAATTAAGAACTGTTGAGGAGAGTTACAATGGTATTGTGTGTGGCCAAAGCGAGCATACTCCAAGAGACATGTAAGCTATTTGTGATTGTAACCAAATACGAGTATGGCGGACATGACTACCTGAAGGCGCACGAATCTAAATGTGTTCATAGGTTCGATAGTTGGCTTCAAAAGATTTTTGTACAAAAATCAACTCGAAGTGATCTGACTTCAAAAATTAAAGGCGTCAGCTTCACCCAGAAACAAAACAGTCATACGTCCACCGTTAACCTCCCCGGGAAAAGTAAATGGCCCTATGTATACGAGTACATAAGAGTACACCACTTCGTTAATATAAAACCACATCCTCTCTAGACTACTCATGGGTGCGCAACCTATACAGAAAACAGATGAATCAATAGGCAGATTAAAATTCAGATACAGCGAACGGAATCTCCAAATCGGATAACGCCAATAGCACACCTGTTTCAAATTTAGTTTGGGATCATATAAGACCTGCTCAGAATCTGCACCCGCATTCCGTAACCTTGTAAGTACGCATAATACGAGCTCTCGCAGCTGAGCATTAGAAGCTTCTCCCTGTACACCGGCTATTGCGATTAATGACGGCACCAATGCTGTATCTTTTGCCGTTGTCGAGATTATCTGTTGAATACAAGTGATATAAGGGCAGAATAAGAGCTCTGTATGTTGTGTCAGCGGCAGCAAGCTCTTGAAGGACATCCTCAATCAAATGAGACGAATGCATGCTTTGCTTATACTATCAATAGTAAAACTCGAGCCGATTCCACAATGTTATGGGTTCATCGGCTTATGACCTGAGCTATCAAACTCAGCCATGCACAGAAACCAACATGGATTGAATGGTTTCGATCACAACAACCAAATCTTCCATTAATATGAGCGCATGAAAGGGCTAAGCTATAAAATACTTTAGCTAAGTACTCCAATTCTGCATCCAGCCATGATCACTCGGAAATTAAACACACCTCTTGAGGAATCTCCGCCGTTTCCATCACAATGTTGAGCAAGAAAACAGCTTTAGTGGCCAGACGAACGTCGTTTAGACTCCTTTGTTCCGAGATCACATTCACCAGACTCGAGATACCGTCTGATTTGATGAATTCGGCCGTGGCTACTTCATGATGTCGAATTAGACTCGACATGAAATACAACGCTTTAGTTTGTACAGTGCGGTTCTCCTGTGCGTTCAGCAGCGGCAGCACGATTTCCATTACCTAATGCGAAAGTCGAGACAAGTGCATGTAAGTATGGCAAAACTGAATTCCTACAAAACTGGCTGTCAAAGGACTTGTAAATTAATCCTACTCAATACATAATTGAAGGTATACGCGAGAGCCGCATGCAAGTAAAAGTCTGTTCTAACTTCCTTCAGCAAGGTGTAAACCCCGTATTCGGTAGTGAGCTCACCTTCTCCTGTAAACAGTAGTTCTGGCAGTCAGGGTTATTTTGCGTTGTGATCGCCAGCACATCCAACGCCCGTTGTACGAGTGAGGGGTACGAGGACTTGACGAGTGCAATAACATATGGATAACCTCCCATGGATATGAGCGCTAGGGCATTGTCTATACTATCGACAAGTTGGGAGAGATCTTTCAAAGCTTCCTCTTTAGCCGCTACTTCGTCTTTTGTCAATGACATGTCCCCGAAAGCACCAGAGAAATTGGTACCGATTGTATTGAGTGTATGCTGCATGCTTTTCAGTTCACCGTCCAAGCTGTTCAGCGCATCTTTCAACCAGAGTCGTCGCTGTTTGAAATATATAGGAGTAATAAACAATGAGATTTCTACGCAAATAGAAGAACCGTGTATAGTCTTCCTTTACAATAGATATAAAACTGCCCCGAATGTCCTAGAAAATGAACATCTAAACACACAAATATATATATATATATATATATATATATATATATATATATATATATATATATATATATATATATATTATATATATATATATATATAATATATATATATATATATATATATATATATATATATATATATATATATATATATATATATATAT